ATCTTCCTTTCTCTAAAGCATTTAGTCTGTTTTGTAAACCTTTATGTATTTACTCTTGGATCATGTGAGGGAAATCTAGGTACTTTTAATAAAATGTTATAACATGGTTGTTAAAGCAGTGGACTACTAACTGAAAGGTCACAATGTGAACCCACCAGCTGGTCTGAGAGGAAAGATGTGGCAATCTGCTCAGTTAAGATTTACAGACTTGGAAACCCTGTCAGGCAATTCTGCTGTGTCCTATAAGATCTCTCTGAGTCAGAATCAACTCAATGGCACTGGGTTATTTTGGATTTTGTTTTTTAATGAAAACCAAACTCTCTCCACTCTTCCTTACTTCAGTTTGTCAACAGGCTGAATTGGTCTACGTTTATTGGTCAAGACCAGAAATTGTATATTTTGAAATAGTTTTCTTTGTCTTTCACGTTAATTCAGAGACATGAGTAGAGTAGAAAGAACATGAGTGTTGTGACCTAGTTTGTATGATCTTGGTTGGATTGTTTAAAAAAGAGTTGCTGAGACCTGGGGACTCTTGGGCCCCTGAGTCAATGACATAGCCACAGAGGACTAGAGTGGATAGTGAAACGTCCAGCTGATAAGAAGAGAGGGCATATGCATAAGAACACCCACACTTGCAGATAATACCCACTTATCCTGGCTTCAGTGACTGGATGATCAGAGTTCAACCAGAAGTAAAAAGAAGAGGAAAAAAAAAAAAGTATTCTCATACAATTTGATGAACTTGACCTACACCTATGGAAGCAGTAGCTCAAAAGAGGGAACAAGTCCTTACAGCAAGAATCATTCCCACCCCCTCCACACACAGAGTAGACAGAGATGGGCAACTTGGATATTGGCTACCCAAAATGGGGGGCGGGGGACTACAAAGGCAAGAAGTGACTGGCTTACAAGAGGGAACCTAGATTCAGAGGACATGGAGGAAGGTAGAATCTCCAGTGAATAGTATTCAATCTGACTAGGCAGGGCTGATGAAATGAAATGCAGACGGGTCTCTTGTGATACAATAGTGAATAATTGTTATCAGGACTGACTGTGAGGGTTGGAAATGTAAGGGTGGACATTTTTATAGCAAGGAGGGGAGTGATTAACTCTTCAGTCTAGGAGCGGAGGTCCCTAGGACCATCAAGGGAGAAGATCAGAGAGCGGGACCCTACCCAGAGAAGCAGTGATGCCTGAAATGGAGCCAGAGATGATGACATGGAATGATGGAGCAGCTGGAGACTTTAGATCCAGAAAGGGAGAGCACACATGCTGAAGACCTGGGGGGTACGGGGGAAGGATTGCATGGAGGGGATTGTAACCATGGCAATGAGACGATATACGATAGAATGAATGTAAAATTAATGTTCTCCCATGTAAACTATCACATAATTCACAATAAAACATTAAAAAAAAAAAAAATATTCTGACATACACTTCCGTTAAATGACAGTGTTTGCTGTAATGATGAAAACTTATCAATTCTATTGCAATGAAACATTTTGGTAATGGAAAGTGACCAACAGTGCTGATTAGTGCCCTAGCTTTAAGGAACTGAACATAAAGCAGTGAGAAATTAATAAAAGTTCCAAGGGTTTGGATTTGGCTTGCCCATGTAAAAAACCATTTCTTAGTCTGGAACAGTTGCTTCTTATTGCAAATCGTCCATTCTTGATATATAAGATAACAACATTTAAACAAAATAAATATTCATGGAAAAAAAAAAAAGAATTGCTGTTACTCAAAACGGAATCTGAAGTAGAGAGAGAGGTTGTCCTCCTCTCGTGTTTTCTCGTCCCTCGCCCTCCCTCGACCCCCACACTCTGCAGAGATGATCACTCTTTTTTTTTTTTCTCTCAGTTTTTTATTGTGAATTGAGTGAAGGTTTAGAAAGCAAATCATCATAATACAATTTGCTTCATTACATGGTTGCAGTCCCATCTGTGTAAGAAATTAGCACTTTTACCAGCTTGATGTATATCCTGCCAGACCTTTTCTTTTTTTTTTCGCCTTTAAAAAATGCACATAGAAGTATAGATAGGCACATTAGTTTGGATATTATTTTCAAAAATTGGAATATATTTTCTTTACTTTAAATAGTGTATCATGGATTACCTCTCTGTTAGGATCATTCTTTCTGTTTAACTTTGGGAGGTTAAAGTGTTCCCCCCAAGTAAGAGGGGGCTTCAAAAAGCTCATGGAAAAGTGGAATTAAAAGAAAACGAGATATTTCTATTAACTTTTTGAAGTCCCCTTCATATTAATAAAATATTATTTTCTTTTTGAATAAAATAATTATGCTCTTTTCTTACCTGGTGGTTTGGTTTCTTTCTAATAGGATTTTGTTTGTTTTTCACAAAAATGGTCGTTTGAGCTGTAAGGCAAAAGTGCAGCCTCCTCGGCTGAATGGTGCAAAAACTGGCATTTTCTCCACAAGGAGCCCTCATCGCCCAAATGCCATTGGACTGACCCTGGCCAAACTGGAAAAAGTAGAAGGTAATCTCAGCCTGCTTTTAGCTTGGTTTCCCTTACCCAGAAAAACTTTTACCATATCGTGATTTATTTATGTCATCATGTATATCAAGAGCTATTTAAAAATAACTGGTAAGATATTAATAAGAGTTTAAAAATGAGCACTCAGTAACAAGTTGACCCCACCCAGTGCTCACTGAGTCGAGCCAGAGCCTCTTGAAGCAGGTTGTTTCTGTATCATGTAACAGTGCTCTCGTAGAGATTTGTGTACAGGCTTCTCTGTAGGAACCTGTAGGAAAGCTTGGTCATGCCTTGAGGACCTGGAAGAATACATGGGAGTTTGACAGGGAGTGATGAGGATGGGTTTCCAGGCAGAAGGGAAGCACATGTTATTATTACCAGGTGTAGAGAAACCATTGTATAAGAACATTGTGTAGGTAAGCTTACTAAGGCATAAGCAGACAATATCAGAAAGAGGATTTTTAGGTATAGTTATATTCATTCATTGTTTGTAATGTTCTCCATTGTTGATTTTCTTGTTGTTTTTTTAACTTGTGAATTGAGTGAAGGATTACAGAGCAGACCATCGGTTTTATATTCAGCTGAACATATACTTTGCTTCATTACCGTGACTGTGATCCCCTCCATGTACCAACACACAACAGTTATTTGCCTCTATTCACTTTAACTCTTGCACTCCCACTACCTGTGTCTCCCACTACCTTCATCTTTCCTCTGCTAGCCTTTTGCTCTATACTGCCTGCCCTGTCACCTGTGTTAATATCAGTAATCCCCCTCCTCCCTGTAAACCATCATAGATATTTCTTTTATCAAAAAAACTTAACTCTACAACATTGGTCTCATACCATACTTATCCTTTTGTGATTGACTAATTTCACTCAGCATCTGATGTCCTCCAGCTTCATCTATGTTGTGAGGTGTTTCTCAGATTCATTGTTACTCTTCAGTGTTATGTGGCTAAAGTTAGTTTGACCATTCTGCTGACAGGCATTTAGACTTCTCCATCTTTTGGATGTATCTCTTGTAAACAGCCTGTTGAAGGATCCTGTTTGCTTATCCATTCTGCTCTCTCTCTTGACTGGTGCATTTAACCCATTTATATTCTGTGTAATTACCAGCAGGTATGAATTCATTGCTGTCATTGTGCTGTGTGTGTTTTTTGTGGTGCTGCGGGTGTCTTGGTTCCACATAATTTTCTGCGCTGAGTTCATTTTGTTTGTGGGTTTTCTTCGTGTTTTCATTTCAGTTGTGTTAATGTTTATTCATTCTGTAATGACTGTTTTTAAGAGGATTTCCCCCCCCATAATAGGTGGAGCTCTCTACCTCTCTGGAATTGACATGATACATGGGACCCCTGTACTGGACATAAAACCCTACATAGCTGACTATGACTCGCCTCAGAACTTGATGGAGTCCTTAGGAGACTGTAATTCACAAGATAACAAACATAAACCAAAAAGTGAGTTTCAGTCCAGTGGCATGACTGATAATTATGACCAGCAATCGCTGCCAGGGTGCATTGAACCACAGCCGTATAAGGGCACTAGAGAGAAACTTCAGTGTCCCGAAGAGAGAACTTCTGAAAAACCCATGGAACAGGATGACAAAGCAAAAATTCGAAACTGGCCTAAGCCCAAGGAGATTGCAGCAGGTTTGGGTTTGGAATCAAGAAGTGATCAGAGTTCGAGTGTAGCAAAAGCACCCGTTGTCTCCTGTCACCTGGAGGAGAGCTCTTCTGAGAAAAGCAGAGATAAGAAGCCAAGAAGAAGGCAAGAGGCAGTGATCCTGCAGGACCACAGGGCAGAGGCACAGTCTGGGACCCCTCAGTACCATTCCAGTGTTGCTGCTGCAGCCTGCCACAGTGCGGTGCCCACCTGGGTCAGAGCCGCGCCTGTGACCTCGTTACATGTTAGGTTCACTCCGCACGCTCAGATGGACCTCGGGCACCTCAGTCCAGGTGAGCTACGAGCCTTCCGGGTTCTATTTCTGAAGGAAGGATGAGCCTTTTCTGTGAGATGGAGCCATGTTTTCTGTCTCTGAGGGCAGTTAGGTGGAGTACCTGTCGGTATGGCTGCTGAGGAAAAATGTTGTGGGGATGGTTATGTGCCGTGGAGTTGGTTTAACTCTTAGCGACCCTGCACAGGTTTCTGAGGCTGTAAATCTTTAAGGGAGAGGAAAGCTTCATCTTTTTCCCGCAGAAAGACTAATAGTTTCGAACTGCTGACCTTGAGATTAGCAGGCCAACTTGTAACTACTATGCTACTAGAGCTCCTTGAAAAGAGATACAGGCGAGTAGAGTAATATCTGGGTGGGGCTGTCATCAGAAGGGTTTCATTCAGTAGTGGTTCGCTGAGCAGTTAGTTCCAGACACTCGGTGGAGTGCAGAGAAGGGCTGCAGCCTCGGGAGGTAACCCATTATTTGGGGCTCATCTGCTGACTACGGTGGTTCCGGGAGTTTGCAGACAAGTAGAGTTCAGAAGCCAAATTGTGCTTGTTCGATACGCTAACTAACTAGAGAAACATCTGTTTTATTCTAATGCTCGGGTGGTGGATACTTCAGCCTTGTAGTGGAGAGGATTCCATGGGTAAGAGAAAGAGGCTCTGAGCACAGTATTCCCCCCCACCCCCCACCCCTCACCAGGACTGGAGATGTGCACTTGACTGCAGAAGAGAGGTCATGGGCCCTGACTTGGAGCCTGTTCGTTTGACACGTGGTTCCTAACAAATGCTGTTACCTGCTTTCCCCAGTCCACAGCAGATTCAAGCAGCAATCTTGGATGAAGGAAGGGTTGTTAAGAGGTGGTGGGTACAGAGTTAACAGTAAGAAGTAGCCAGTTGCCAAGGAGGAGATGTCAAATTCAAAATAGGTAGAAAGCTATTCTTTGTGTTACAACTTGATAAGGAACCAATATAGTCAGGCAAAGAAGGGAATTTATTGATTGATCTGATTGATTCTGTAATTGTTTCCTCAGCTTCTGCTGGGCACCAGACACTGTTTTAGACCCTTAGGATACATATGCCCGTGAACAAATAAACCAGACAACCCTTCCCATGTGGAACTCACATAATAATTAAGTAGTGATGTGTACATAATGTTAAAAGGTGATGGGGACTATAGACAACATTTAAAAAGAATGGAACAGGGGAAGGGGTGTTGGGTGATGGGGTGCGATTTAAGCAGAGTGGCTGGAGTAGAGAAGATACCTTTGGGAAAAGGCCAAAAGAAGTGAAGGAGTGAGCCATGTACGTGCCCAGGGGGAGCCAGGCCAGCCAGGTGGACAGGCATTGCACCGTGCCAAGGTGGGAGTGTGTGGGGGACCTCAGGACTCATGTGGCTGGAGCCGAGTGAGGAACGAGCTGAGGGCAGAGAGCCTGTGGGGAAGGGGAGGTACAGTCATATGGGGTTTCAAGGCCATTATAAGGGCTGGTGCATTACTTTGGGAAAGGAACTTGAGGTCCCTGGTGAGCAGGGCCTCTCTAGAGGTCAGATTGTTGCCCAGAGTGACTTCCACAATAACGACTAAGTAAATTTCCAAACCATGTTCCTTTCAAGTAGTGTTCTAGGAACCAACTGAATTCTGTATTCTGAAGTCCATAGTAATGAGAATCTACCTGCACGATTTTGAGAGTTAGAGTGTGTTGTTCTTCTCTTGGCAGATGCATTTAAATATTTTCAGTCAGCAGAAGAAGCGAAGCATGCCATCGAGGCCGTGCTGTCAGCCGATCCTCGGTCTGTGTACCGACGAAAGCTCTGCCAAGACCGTCTTTTCTACTTTACTGTCGACACAGTGCACATCACTTGCTGGTTTGGGGATGGTTTTGCAGAAGTCCTAAGGATCCAGCCTGCTTCTGGGCCTGTTCAGAAGACTGACCCTGTGGAGTCATTGGTGTCTCTAGGATCGTAAGGAGTCTCCATTCCATCTTTAAATTGATCTTTAGGTGCAATTTTTGGATTTTCTATATAAGCTAATGTGTCTTCTTTACAGAAGGAAGCAACACTTGGTGGTCTCACTGCTTTGGTTGCTTTGGGCTGTGCAAAATGTTTTTAAAATGTGTTTTAATAAACTTATCAGAGATTGAAATTTTAGAGCAACTGCCTTATGCTTTTTGGCCTGTTCATTAAAAAATTTGAAAGGTGATGCTGTCTCATTGAGTTCTGAAAGAAGCTCATTGTTCTCGGGACTGGATGAGATTAGGCAAAGAGACTGTAATAGGGAATTTGAAGCTAAAAGGATCATTCAGCAATTCATGTTGGTTTTCATGTTTGGAAAAGTCTGACGTCTTTCTGAGTTGTGATGACTTTGCAGTCCAGCAAATTAACCCACAGTGCCACAGTGGGTTAATACTGGACTGCAAAGTCACTTTGAACCACAAGGTTGGTGGTTCAAGCTTACCAGCTGCTCCTCGGAAACTATACAGGGTCGCTATGGGTTGGAACTGATTTCATGGCACTTAACAGCAGCAACATATATTCATATAAAAGTATGTATTTGTTGTTGTTAAGTGCCATCTAGTTGTTTCAACTCAAAACAACCCTGTACAGGGTTTCCAAGGAGCAGCTGGTAAATTTGAATTGCTGACCTTATAGTTAGCAGCCAGTGCTTATATCCTACGGCACCTGGTGCTGTAGGATATAAACACTGGACCACAAGGTCTGTTTGAACTTCAAGGCTGGCAGTTCAAACTTATCAGCTGCTCCTCAGAAACCCTATACAGGATCACTATGAGTTGTTGGAACTGACTCAATAGCTCTTAACAGCAACATTTTTTTATATATTGTTTTTGTTTGATGCCGTCAAGTTGACTCCTACTTACAGTAACCCTTTGCACGATAGAACGAAATACTGTGTGGTCCTGTACTGTCCTCACAATTGTTATGATTGAGCCCACTGTTGCAGCCATTGTGTCTGTCCATCTTGTTGGGGGGTCTGCCTCTTTTTTTCTGACCTTATTTTACAAAGCATAATATCCTTTTCCAGGGACTGGTCCCTCCTGGTAACACGTCTAAAGTATGTGTGTCTTGCCATCCTAGCTTCTAAGGAGGATTCTGATTGTACTTCTTCCAAGACAGATTTGGTTGTTCTCCTGGAAGTCCAGGGTACTTTCAGTATTCTTTGCCAACATCATAATTCAAATGCATCAGTTCTCTGGTCTTCCTTATTCATTGTTGTACTCATGTGTATGAGGCAGTTGAAAATACTGTGGCTTGGGTCAGGCTCAACTTAGTCCTCCAAGTGACATTTTTGCTCTTTGACATTTTAAAAGAGGTCTTTTGCTGCAAAATTTCCTAATGCAGTATGTCTTCTGACTGCTGCTTCCATAAGTATTGATTAAATATGTATATTTATATTTAATCCTGACTCCATAAAAGGAAATAGAAATTTCTTTGGATATCTTTGTATCAGAAAAGGATCCTCAAGAAAATAATAACTATTATGTATTCATTTTGTGACTGTTGAGAACCTACTATGGATTCGGTTTTGGTGATAAAACGAGATGAGCAAGATGCAGTTCTTGTTGCAAATCATGTTGCAAGTAAAGGAACTAAGACAGGAGGAAATCATTGTACTATAGTTTGATAAGTCAGTAATTAAGTCTGTATGTACTTCCTGTGTGTATACCGTAGGAGGCAGTTAGTTGTAAGAATGTACTGCCTATAGGTAATTTTAATGATGTGATTCCAGATAACTGAAGATTTATGATCAGTGTAGCCAAATTAGACAACTGTCAACACGACATAGGCATTCCTAATCACAGTTGTAAATCTTAGTGGCTGATTGATCATGGTTTTGAAATGAGCTCTACTACCTGTAGATACTTGTGGAGTCATCGGTGGCTGATGACACTGTGGAACTAGATGAGCCTGGAGTTCCCTTTGATGCTACTTAGAACTTCTTGGGTAAATATCTTGAATTTGATTTTTTTATAAAAATACTTTTTTTGAGAATTATTACAGATTTACTGTTATAAAATGTAGCAGCTCCATGTTACCCTTCACTTACTTTCCCCCGGTGGTAACAGCTTATATCACTATGATACAATATTGTTGTTTAGTGCTGTCGAGTAGGTTCCCACTCATAGCGACCCTGTATAGGGTTTCCAAGGAGCAGCTGGTGAGTTTGAACTGCTGACCTTGCAGTTCAATCAGCTTTGCAGTCTGGCGCATTAACCCACAGCGCCACATTAGGACTCCCATGATACAATATTAGAACCAGGAAGCTGACATTGGTACAATCTATATTTTTGAGCTTAATGGGTTTTGTGATTGTTGTTGTTTTGTTTTTTACTCAAAAAAATATTTTGAAACGATTAGGACTTGAAGCATAGAGTATTGATGATTTTATGGTTAAAAAGAAAATCTCTGGGACCCCTCCTTTTAGTTAAAGGGCTATTCACTTGGATTTTCCTTCGCTATTTGCAGGGTTTTAGAGCTAAAATGGGTAAGGGTAATAATCCAGCTCCGTTGTCTGCCAGTTCGTGAGACTTTTCCTCACAAGTCCCAGGGTTTGGCTTTCTAAGTCTTGCTTGAACACCCTCAGTGGTGCGGTCTTCACTTCTGCCCTGTGCAGCTCATCCTATCCAGACAGTGTTCATTATGAAAATGCCCTTTGTGTGAGAGAAAAGTTGTCTTCTGAGAGCCGCACTCATTACTAGGACTGTGGCTCGTTGCCCTCACGTTAGTCTGCCAGACACCTACTATTCCAGTTCCCATTTCTTGGTCCTCTCTAGTTGAGCACCCCCATTTCCTGAATTCCTCCTATGACGTATTCTCAAACTCTCCGACCCTGATTCATGTTGAGTCCCCAGTGTGACCTTTTCTCTTTGTGGACATGTGCTTCAAGAGTCCTATTGTGAGGAAGTCCAAATCTCTAGTTCATGAACTTTCATCTCTTAGAAAGATAAGTAGTATGAAGCAAATTTTATATTCCTTTTCATCTTGGAAACCTTTCAAAATAAGAACAAGAAGTAGAAATGACACCCGCCATGATTTGTAATCGTTACCTTCTGGTGCCTGTAGGGGGAGCCCTTGATTTTGTTTTGTTTTGTTTTCTTTTCACTAGCTTGGATGAAACCTCCTGGAGTTAAGCTGGTAATTTTGTCTTTAGGCCCATCTGCCTCAGCTTTTAGGAACAGTAACTTTTACCAGAAATGCTAGTGCTTATCAATCACACATAGGAAGAGATTATAAAAAAAAATGTTTATTCCATTAATCTTCTATTGTAGTTTTGTAGAAGGAGTTGGGTCAATTATTCAAGTTTGTGGAGACTGGGCACAAGCAGGTAGATTCATTAGCCAAACCCATCAGCATGCATGTCCAAGGGGCTTCAAAAAGTTTGTGGGAAATGGAGTGAAAAGATCATAGAACTTTTCCTTGACCTTTCCAGTGCCACCTTGTATAAGGTATTCAGTGCTTTTTGGTGTTTGTAACTTTTTTCCCTTGAAGAGAAAAAAGAGAGAAAATTGAAGACAAAAGAATCAGCAAGATATCTTGTTGGTAACTTTCTATTTATAGTACCATCCCAAAGAAGGCTGGTGAAGACTCAGTGAAAAATTGTCTCCGTTCCTGAGTTTTCATATGTTCACATGGCTAGTCAGTCGTGGATCTAGGATTTCAACCTACCTAATTTGACCCCAGAATACTCTCTTCCTAGCTTGGCGCTATAATCTTCTCACTATAGATGTGGATGTTGAGCTGGCCTAATTGAAGACAGCATTTCAGATGCTTTAGTATAGGACACTTCAGTTAGTAGAATAACCATAATGACAATCAGGGTGAGAAAGGGGCTGCAATGAGGCCATTCTCACTACATCTGCATGGAACTCCCTGGGTGGGAAGCAGGGGTGGCATGTGGAGAGTTTAGACTCAGAACCTTGAAGTTCTGCCGTCTACTCTGCCATGGGTCACTTTGGGCAGGTCGCTGCACCCAGAGTCAAATCCCTAACCTTATGTAGTTATTATAAGGATAATGTTTGGGAAAGTATTTTGTGAAATCTCAAATGACCTGTAAACTTAGATAATATTTTTTATTGCTTTTTAAGTTTTTATTGTGAACTGAGTAATGGTTTACATGGGAGAACATAGGCTTTACACCATTGTTTCATTACAATGCTTACGATCTCCGTGCATCATCATTCAACAATATTTGCTTCCATTGGTTAATTTTTTTTGGGGGGGGGCGGGGGGAGGAAGTACACAGAAACACTCAGGAATATATATAATAGTTTAAACAACCAAAGGGAAAATTTGCTAGCCTTCCTCCTGGCCGCTAGCACCCAGTCCCTCTCTTTCCATGAGTCCAGAGCCCTCAGCTGCCCCCTCTCTCCATCGTAGATAATATTTTTATTGTGCCTGTTATCACTGGCATCCTTTCTTTGTCACTGTACTCTGGCTTACTTGACCAGGCAAGCAGATTTCAGGAGAATCTACCAGTGGAAAAGCCAGTTGACTCCACTCATGGTGACTCATGTAACAGTTAACAGTGGCCTGCAAAGCTGAAACTATTTACTATCTGATACTTTTTGAAAAAAAAGTTTGTCAACCTCTGATTTAGAACATTATTTTGCTAAGAAAGTATTTTTTTTAAGGTTTTTATTGTGGATTGAGTGAAAGTTTACAGAGCAGATTATCAGTTTTACATTCAACAAATCATACACCTTGTTCATTTTAATAATTATAATCGCCTCCATGTATTTCTCTCTGCTAAGAAAGTGTTTTGATTTCCAGAAAGCTGACTTACAAATTAAATCTTGAGATGCCACATGCTTCTAAGTCAGGGATGTTCTGAATTTTCAAATCACTTAGTCATAAAGCCATATGAACAAACATAAACAGACCACGAACAATATACACTATAATATCCTATTTATTTGTGTAGTACAAGGTTATACAAATCCATGTTTATAC